GTTAAAGACATGAGCTGGGTGTGGTGTAATACCAGCATTCAGGAGGCTGAGGCAGGAGGATTGCTGTGAGTTTGAGGCCATCTTGGGCTACATCATGAGTTCAAGGCTAGCATGAGTTATATAGAGAGACCCCATCTGAAAAAAAAAAAAAAACAAAAAACAACTCCCCCAGAAAACTTTCAGTTGAAGACAAATTTTGCAATACTAATTTGTTTATTCTTTATAAGTTACAGTGCTTGAAACTATAAATAGTAGGTAACTGTTAAACTAGATTTACTTTATTAGAAGAAATAAACCACACTGCAGAAACTACTTTGAAGTTGCTATAAAAATTCTAACATTGGTATAGAGTTTAAAATGTTTAACGCTGAAATTATAATAACTTAGAATGTAGGTATCTTAAAGACACAATCCCTAATTTTTCTGACAATGAGAATCGATATTCTTTACTTGGCAGCTATGAACTTCAGTTATGTTTAGCCGAAGGGCAGTGATCACCTTATCTAGTGCAGTAATCACTTCTTGCTTATCCAAAGTAAGAAACTGTACATTATTTAGATATTGAGTAACATGGAAGAAGCCAAGAAGAAACCCCTTTGATCACCTTTTTCTTTTTCTTTTTTTTTTTTTGTATGGGGGATCAAACTCAGGATCTTGCACTTGTGAGGCAGGCGGTAGAACCACTGAGCTAAATCCCCGGCTGATCACCCTTTTTGCCTGTCACTTATCTCTTATGGGACATCACCGGTAAAATTTGTCTTTGTTTAATGAAATATAAAAATAATTATTTAACTAGTATTAAAGCTATTCTTGTGAAAACATTCAAAAGATGTAAAGTATGTAAGGCAGAGAACAGCAGTGCCCTGCCTTCTCCCTAGCTCTGTGCTGTTCTCATGAGGCACACGCCATGTGTCCACTGTTACTTTCCCCCACCTGGAAGCCCTCGTGGATGGCTGCTCTGTGTGTGTGTCAGGTCGGTCTGAACTGGGGGCATCTGAGCTATTTATCAGATGCAGTGAGCTTCTTCCGTTCACTTCGTGTACTCCTCTCTAACCTTTTTGTTGTTATTATTGTTCTGGGGATTGAACTCAGGACCTTGCCCTTGCGAGGCAGGCGTGGTACCATTGAACTGAATCCCTGGCCCTATCCAATCTGTATGGTGAATTTCTAAAAGTAGAAAATACATCTTAAATATTATTTTGCTGCCTTCTAGTTTTTAATTTTTTATTAGTACATGTTTGCATTACATAATAATCACTTTCCTCATGGGAGTTCTTACATGCATGTAGCACATCTTAATTCTTTGTTTCCCTTCTCCTCCCCTCCATCTCTTCATCTCTTTCCCATTGACTTTTCAATACCTGATAATACTGTTTTATTAGTTGGAAGAAATTTTATATGTTCTATGTAATACATAATTTTCTTTGAAACTGTAATAAAGCCATCAGTGCTTGGACTACACAGACTGAAAACTATTTCCAGAAAGTAGGTCTTTAGTAATCACTTAAAAAAATGATTGTCAAGAAGTTTTGAGAATGATAATACTATAGAAGAGGCACTGTTAGATCTTAAAAATCTGAGGAAGTCTAAAATGCCTACTAGAATGTGTAAAGTTGATTTTTCTTAATGCATATTTTTGTTTTAGGAACTGGAGCAGTACAAGAGAAATGCTTCCAAGTCTTGGAAACAGATTGAACTTGACTCTTCAACCTAACTCAACTATTATATATATATTGATTTTTTTTCTTTCCCAAAGTAAAATTATTTTATTAACTAACTGTTGTGGCAATCTGTGAAGAAAGTTTAAGAGGTGTGATTTGTGAGAAGAAAAGCTCAATTTCCTCTAATGCAACTCTTTTCTGGATACTCTTAAAGTCTTTGAAAAGGGAAAAACATTTTGTAATTACATGTTTCTTAAAAACAAAGTAATCTTCTGTTATCTGTCTCTAATGTGTCAGTAGCATAGTCTCAGCTCAGAATATACTGTAAGTTTTGCTTATATGTTCTTGGGACTACAAAGCAAGAGTATTTGGTAACAGTTTTAAATACAATGTTAAGTGTCCACATTGGACACATTCTTTCTGGAAACTGAACTCAACTGTAGCTGGTGGGAAACCAGATTTGGGCTCCTGGGTGCTGTGCTTTTATTTATTCTTTACAGTGAAGCACAAGAAGCACCTGAAAAATACTTATTTAAAATGCACATTCCTGCCAGGCATGGAGGTTGCACACCTGTAATCCCAGCATTCAGGAGGCTGAGGTAGGAGGGTTGCAGTTCGAGGCCAGCCGGGGGTACATAGTGAGTTCAAGAACTAACTGAACTACATAGTGTGACCCGGTCTCAAAAAAACAAAACAGGGCCAGGGATTCAGCTCAGTGGTGCCGTGCCTGCCTCACAAGCCCAAGATCCTGACTTGGGACTCTGGTGCCAAAAACAAACAAACAAACAAATGCATCTTCCTGGGTTCCTGCACCCAGAGATTCTGAATCACTGGTCTGAAATGGAGCATTTCTAAAATCACCACCAAGTTAGACTGACTCATTATTTGTAATCACTGGTCTGGAATGGAGCATTTCTAAAATCATCAAGTTAGACTGACACAGTATTTGAAAAGAACACTTTCTGAAGAGTAGACAAATTAAGGCGATATCCTTTGAACAAGTAGACCAAAATGTCATGAGCTGGGATAACTAGAATCCTTCCCAAGATGGTATGCCTTTAAGGAGCCTTTCCAGTCCTGTAGATTTGTGTACCTGTAGTCAAGTTCAATTTTTAAGTATGACTGCTGTCGCTAACCAGGAAAGTTATTGTTTTCCCATTTCCACTTCCAGAGTAACCAACTGTAGTATGGCCCATGCCCAGCTTCAGTAAGCACATTTCCCAACGCCAAGACACTGCGACTGGCGAGGGGCAGCTGCCATCCAGTTGCTCTGGTGCAGTGAGATTTCATAACTCTTTGTAGTGTGTGTGCTTCAAACAAGCTAAAGAACAGAATTTTCGGCTGTTTCTGAGGAATCCCTACCTGCTTGCTGAGGAGGAGCTCTCTGCATCACAGCAAACATTATGATCTTAGCACACAATAGTAACAGGAATTTTTATTATATAATTTGATTTTCATACACATCACTGTCCATTTTTGATTTGAGATGCAGAATGTCACATGTTGAAAGCCATTGTGTTTTTCTAAGACGCTATCACTTAACATTTAATAGCTTGAAGTCACGCGTGATGTCAATTTTCAAATATTTCCAAGCTAGAATGAAATTCATCTGCATATGAATAGTAGAAAATGTTTCCATTTACCATGTACACCTATATCTTTCCTGAGTCAAAATCGGTGTTTTCAAAAGAGGTTCCTGTGGGATTCTCTTTGAACTACTTTAAGAGATTATCATCTCAGAATTGTCTATGCTGATGTGACATATATAATCTGTAAGGCATTATGTAACTGTTATAACATAATCATCAGTGTCACGGGCCTTTTATAAAAATTGACAATACTATTCTGGTAATTTACCAATGTCTCCAGATCCTCAAATACTGTTCTAAGCAATAGAGTTTTACTGCGGTTTCCTTAATGAAATGATCTTTCCTACTATAATGTGAGACATCTCAAGTACTATAATTTATCATGCTCTGCAAGTTAGGTCACAGTAACTGAACAAAGTTCATGGGCTCTCTATCCTGCTCTGCTCAAAGTTACCATGGCAACATTGACATAGTTTCATCTCAGACTTGTACATGAATTACTTGAAGATCAATCAGAAAGATAATCAGTCTTTCAGTAGAGGATCCATTTTTCATATCCTATAGCCATCATTTCATCTCTGGAAATATGTGATACATATGTCTATACTTACCAACATTCTTTGTCTTCACAATTCAAGAACATAAACCCCTCCTGTGTCACTCTGTTCTGCTCAGTGGAAATGTTGTGTCAGTCGAGTATTTTTCTGTATGGACTTTTAATAACAGCTGATCTCCGTGTCTGAAAGAGGTCGTGTCTCAGTGCATACGCTTGTCTAGTAACAGCTACTTTTCATTTTGTAAGTAAACTAGGCTGGATATGGAAAGTAGCAAGCTCATCTTCAAAGTCATCAGCAGAGAGCTGTCCAGTGTGTTGTGCTCACCACTCTGCCCCTCCCTTCCTGCAGGTTAAAATGTTAAACCTCAGTAAAACCACTGGCTCCTCAGTGCCAGTGGTGGTCACCATCCAACATCTGTCCAGCATCCTCTCATTGTGATCAGAGAGCTGAGCCTTCTCGTGTGGACAAGTGCAGATAAATGTAGGTTTTAGTTTTTTATTTGTTTCTTTTTAGTGGTATTGGGAATTAAACACAGGCCCTTTCATATGCCAGGCAAGTGCTCTACCATTGAGGTACTTACCTGGATCACTTGCTTGCTTTCTCTTTGTATTTCTTTTTTTGAGATGGGGTTTCACTAAGTTGCCCACATTGGCCTCAAACTTGTGATCCTCTTACCTCAGCCTCCCAAGTAGCTATGATAACATTGTGCACCCCCATGCCCAGCAAATGTGGGTGTTAAATGATAGAACAGTCTTCTTACCTAGTTGTACATGATTCTCTGTTTCAGGTAAACCCATAACTTTTTTCCTGTTACTTCCAGTCAGTAACCATTCAAACATTTCCTTGTACCAAATTCTACATCAAATGTAAGCATAATTTTTAAACTGGTGCATTTTTCTATATCTAGAACAAGGAAAACATTCACACTCATCTCCCGTAGGCTTATGGATTCTTAACTATTTACATTCTTGGATGAGCTCAGTCACAATTCTCAAATACCACATGTCCCAACAGGTTGAAATAACAAGGGGCAGGATCCCATTTCTATTGTACTCGAAGTCTGTGTGGATCTGAGGAGCACAAATGAAGTCTTAGTGGCAAAACGATTTACAGTGTCCCACCAAAAAGGAAATCCATGGCATTCTTCAGACATTCCAATAGTCACACCAGACAGCCGAAGTTCCATCTCTGTACTATCTGCTGGTGAGATGGTCCCTTATTTTAAAAACAACTATTCCTAGGAGGACCAGAACTGGGATATATGCATATAAGATCAGAAAGTTCGTTGTGAATCTGGATGTTGCGCCTGGGCAGGTTCTCTCAATGATCTGAATTCCTTGAACGATAGCGCACAATGGTTTATTTATCACAGAGTTATTTGAGTTGCCTGCCAAAGAAAAGATTGACAATATCAGCCATGGCAGATCTCAGGTGACTCACAAGTATCTCACTCTGTGAAGCACCCTTCTTCCTGAAAGATACGTGACATTTTTGAGAGCCCAGAATTCACAGTCAGATGAAGCCCGGGTGAAAAGTTTCAGGCCTTGGCTTCATTTGAAGATAGAGATGGTTTCGTTTCTGTTTTGGGTATAGATTCCTTACCATGTCTTTGATAAAATGACATTCACTTAGCAACAGATATCCTAAAGTAATTGATGCTGTCACCTAAAAATATTAAAATAACCACTAAATTCCCTGGGATCTGCGGTGGCCAGGAGGATTTTATTCTGTTCCCACTGCCCCCTGTAGGAGTGGGGAAAAGCCTTTTGCTATCAAAAATGGCTTTGAGAATTTAGCTCAGTGGCACTGCTGCCCGCCTCATGAGCTCAAGGTCCGGAGTTCAATCCCCGGTACCAAAAACAAAAAACAAAATAAAAATGGCTCCACTCACGTACCACGTACTCTTTGGGGAGCAAGAAGCCACTTTATAGCCCACTTCAGTGAGCTCAGTAGATAGAGAAGCTGAGTCTATCTGGAATATACTAGACTTGATCTTAGCCAAAAGGCCAAGAAGCGATGTCTCTAGAATATACTAGAATTCAATTCAGTGTGCATGAATTCTGTCTCTTTCTAATAACGCCACAGTGGCCTTAGGCTATTGACCTTTGGCAGGAGACAAACTGGACCACTGCTTATTTTATTTTAAAAAAAACAAAGAAAATGTTGGGCTTTTATCACCAAAGTGTTAAAAATCAGTTTAATATAAAATATAGCATTTAATATATCATGGACAAGTACAAATTTCCAATGATGAATGTCATCATATTGTATAGCTAAAATGTACCAATGAACTTCATGAATAAAAACATGTATGTAGCATTTATCCCCAAAATACATTTTCCCTCCAGAAACTGCTTCCTTGGAGTAATATTTTAAAATAGTATTTCAAAACTGAGTACTTACCACACGTGAAATTCAGTCCATAGAACTCATTGACTGTGAGGATCTCACAGCAGTATTTTTGGAATGTAAAATAGCTGTAGACTTTAAAAACATAGTTCATTTCTTCTGTGCTTCTTCAGGGGACAAAAGCGGGAAAGATAAACTTCAGTAGGCTCTGGCAAATAGTTTTACCAAATAAAAAGAAAGGCAGTCCTTATGTTATGTTCTCTAACATAAATATACTTTTCCAACTCTATTTTTATTGTTTTGTTTTGCTTTTTGGTACTGGGGATTGAATTCAGGACCTTGTGCTTGTGAGGCAGGTGGCAGCACCTCTGAGCTAAATCTCCAGTCCCCAACTCTATTTTTAAAATGATCCTCACTATAAAAATCTTAAAATGATAATAAAGTATAAAGAAATACATTGCCCAGAAATAACTGTAGTTAACATGTTGGTGATACGTGGGGCATGGTGACACACGCCTGTAATCCCAGGACTCAGGAGGCTGAGGCAGGAGGATCACTGTGAGTTCAAGGCCAGCCTTGCTACATAGTGAGTTCAAGGCCAGCCTAAACTCCATAATGAGACCCTGTCTAAAAAAAATTGGTGATATATATAATCTATGTGTTCATAAAACTATACATTAAAGTTTTATGCTGTGCTATTTCCTAACATGCTTATTTCTCCCAAACGTGTCACAGACATCCTTCCAAGTTAGTAAATGTAGCATTCAGTCATTTTACATTACACTTTGGTGATCCATTATAGTAGAGACTCTAACAATCCTTTCATGATGGCCTAGTGCCTAATTTTTGGGGTGAGCACTATTTATAGAACATAGAAGAAAACACACATGTTACATGAGAGGAGGATAGTCTATGTGATAAAACATAGATTTGAAGGTGCTGGGGTAAAGTAAGAGCTAAACTTAAATGCCAGGGGGACAGGACGGAGAGAAGCAAGTACATTCATTGTGAAAACAAACTATGTTTCCTCTCCATTCTAACTCGGAAGAAACCTCGCGCTGATGCTGTGCCCTTCTCAGTCCACTGTATCATTTCTACCAGCCAGAAATATATATTAAATATATTTACAAAGCTCTAGTTAAAGATGCTTTAGGAATTTAAAAATAGTATCTTGCCCTTGAAGAACTCACAGTGTGGTTAGTGGCAGTTTGCTAAGGCACAAAATAAATGAGCCACATTGAGAGGTTGTTAACTGGTCTTGAAAGTTTGCAAAATTCTTTGTTGATCTGAGTCAAGACCGAGAGCTGGCTCCTGTGTAACAAGAACCACTGCTGCCCTCGAACAGTTGGCGATCTATTAAGGAAAGCCCACAACACAAAGGGCACACAACAGGCAGCAAGAGGAAATGGGGTGCAGAGAGATCCTCCAGCCATGGGAATGGTGGTCAGGCAGAGGGAGACCAGGGAACTGAAGGCACAGAGGAGAACCGGCTGTGTCCTGGAAACCTGGGGAGTCTGGTAAGAGGGAGGGACCATGGATTAAGATTTGTTGATGCAGAACTGTCCCCACTATGCTGTTAAATGGTAAGAACGTATTAATTCTTCCCATCTTCCACAATAGTACAATTCCACTTTTACTAAAAATGCTATTCAATTCTAGCTGGATATGCAACGGAGCTTAACTCTGGGTTGTGATATTTTGGGTAACTTTTCCTATCTTCTGCATACATGTCTATATTGTGTGCATTGTTTGTCCCAAAGAACTCGGAATATTTTGTAAGTAGAAGGAACAGCAAAGCTGCTTCCATTCGTGTTGGAAGGTGGAGGGAGCCAGGAGTACAAATCCTGCCTGCTCTTCAGGCAGGGAAGTGGACCACAAAGGAGAAAATGCAGTGAGTGCTTGTTCGTTGAGCAGTCTGAGTAAGGTTCCCCAATATGAAGATTGGCAAAGAAATCAAAAGCATTTAGTAATGGTAGCCATTACCTCCCTTTTAATGGCAGTTAATCTCCTTTTCCTTAAAAGTAGGTACAGGAAAAAGTACCAGATTGACTGGCACGTGAGGATTCCAATCATATAAAAGAGGAGACCACCCCCAAGCTTGAGTCTACATTGTTGAGGGTGATTTGATCAGTGCGCTTCTCACAGATCCTAACAATCCACTTAAGCAGCAGAGACAAATGCAATGTAATGTAAAAAATGCCTTCTTGACCCATCAAAACCTGGCTTGCTTTGCTCTCCTGTGTTTTCATGTTGATTATCTCATTTATTCCTGGTGACCTCACGAGGTAGGGGATAAAATAAGAACCTCTGTTTTATATGGCTGGGGATTTAGCTCAATGGCATTGCATCTGCCTGGCAAGTGCAAGGTCCTTAGTTTGATCTCCAGTAACAAAACAAAACAAAGCAACAAAAAAAACAAACCTCTGTTTTATAAATGAGGAAACCAGGGCTGGGGATTTAGCTCAGTGGTGTCACTGCCTGCCTCGAAAGCAAAAGGTCTGGAGTTCAGCCCCGATACCAAAAAATAAAAAACATAAATACATGAGGAAACTAATTTAGACAGAAAAGTGATTTGTCCTGTTCACCGGCAGGCAAGCAGTGGAGGGAATTCCTGATTCAAGGTCAGCTCTCTCTCCAGGGAGCCACAGGTATCACAGGCAAGGGACTCAAGCCCTCTCAAGTCTGAGCTTCATTTCCTCCTGAGAACTAAACGACTAACATATAAAAGTCCTTCTGTATAGTGGATGCCCACTAGTTTTTTTGTCTGTGATTTGATTTTTAAATCAAAGTAAAACTTTCCATTAGGGACCCAGATTTTAGATCCCATTCCTGTCACCTGCCTGGCCTCACTTTTATCTTTTTAAAAATTTCTACCCCTTCTTGTTCACTTTTAAGTATGTGTATTCATTATAAAATGATGGCTATCCTGCATAGAAAATTTGAAAATATAAAAAATATGAATTGAAAAAATTAAATACCATCTAGAGATGATTACTGTTAGATTCTTTTTTTTCCCCCAGTACCAGGGATTGAACTCAGGACCTTGTACTTGCAAGGCAGGCATAGTGCCACTGAGCTAAATCCCCGGCCCCTGTGATAACTACTGTTAATATTTGGCATGTGTCTTGAAACTTTTTTGAGCAGTCTTATCCTGCAGTCTTTTTTGCTTATCTGACTAGTTTTAATTCCTAAAAATAACTGGGAATTGAGAACCAGAATAGAGACTCAACAATGCCTGGTCAGAAATAAACTAACACATCTAATCTTTAGCTCACAATGTGGACCGTGAGTTTTTCTGGAGCATCTGAATTGGTTTTCCTCCTCTTGTTTTAAAAGCTTGTAGTATGTGGATCATATCATTAATTTGCTTACCTTATCATTTCCTGATCCCCAATAGACATTTTATTGAACAATTAGTACAATGTCTAAGACAATATTGATTACTTAGCAGGCAGTGTAACTACTCCACACCTTAAGGTGATACCTTTGGCCAGTACCCCAGACCTCCCTTCTGGAATTCTTTTACAGCAGGCATCATCCTGCAGTCAACGACCACAAATCATACAACCCTAAATCTTTAAATCTTTGTATCTCACCTGACAAATCCAGATCCAACCAGCAACCCAGCAATGCTCAGCAGAGCCACTATACTGTTGACAGTATTTGGGTTTTGGATCATTCCAAGTAGCACAAGAGTTAAACATTCACCAATTAAGTGGGAGGCCAAGAGAGCAGCAGAGAAATATACAAATCGGGCAGCCTCAGGATATAAGCCCAGAGTCCTAAAAAAAAAAAAAAAAAGAAAAGGTCTTTAGTTTCCTTCCCAAGCACTGTCATTTAAGAAAAATACCTTACTTGCCTTCTGTGGATGAATACATGGTGGTTACAGGCTGGGAGAAGCTAGCAGGGCAAGCCAAACTCCCTTTGTATAAGGCATTTTTGGAACAGAGCGAATGCTTGAGACCCCTTATTACCAATCGTTTCCACTGGCTTCTACTCAGTGTGAGTCATCTGTTAGCACCCCTAAGACACTTGTAGCAAAATAACAAATGACTTAGACAACAATGGCCATGAGCTGCAGTGTGCAGGCTGTTGAACTCTCTAGGCCTCTTTATAAGGAAGCACAATCTTCCTCCCAGCACCGCTCCTACGGCAGTGCTGAGGGCCCACCCAACCTGTGCCCCAGCTCTCCTTCCCATCCCTCTATGGCAGCAGGACTGTTGCCAGCGTGGAAGCCCTCACCACTTCCATCCTCCATCAGACTAGCTCCCCCTCCATTCTTAACTTTTGTTCTAACCTCCTTTCCTTGATTTGACTGTTGTTTCTTCGTGTAAACAAGCAACTCTGTCCCATGCCCTTTTCTCCTATGTTTCCTTCACCAAATTTTCTTTCATGGATGATAGGGGTTTGAAGTGACCATTACACTTGGTTGCTCTTTATTGTAGAATAAGGAAAAGAAACTGGCATGTCATGTATGCCCCACCACTTCACGATCATCCACCTTTCTTCCTGTACAAATCACATCTTGTTTATACTGTTAATCGCCTTTCCTACTGTAGTCTTGCGATGTTGAAAACATTCTTTCTCCTTTGACGATTTCCTAGCACTTGGACAAGGGTCATTTTCTATCAGAATGCTCCAGAAAATTTTATGTTGGTATGAGGCATTGTTAGTGATCCCTTACTTTCATTTCCCTCAAGGTCTTGAACTTCCTTGAGGAGCCATCCACACAAACATCTCCTAATCAACTGATCTCCATTCCAGTGGCTGCACCTGTCTGACCTGGGCCACTCAGCATGTCTTCAACTTATGTAGCAACCAAAATGGATCCACTTCCAAGGTTTCAGGTTCAGAACACACCCTCTCTTATCTCAGCCCGCCTCGTTTCCCATTTCCCCACGCCTCACTGCCTCAGATCCTGGCCTGCTTCTTCCACTCTTTGCTGCATCAGTTCTCTCTTCTGGGAGCCCTGCCTTCTCGTTTAAGTGACTGAAAAGCATGTTTGAAGTGCGTTGAACATGGCATAAAGCTGTGCTAATTCCATCAAATTTGACTCATCTGGCTCCTGCACACCCTAAGGTCTCATCTGTGGATCTTGGGTTCCCATCATGACTGATAGAAAACTCTACTTTACCCTTCTTCCCTATCTCAGTCCCTTTCCAGTTCTCAGCAGGTGAGCTGACCTCCTATTTTATCAATTTCTTGTGTCTGCATTCTCCCTCCCTTTCGTCCTCATTCTGTCCCCACCCCAGTCTTTGCCAAATATTGCCCTATCTATCTTCTTATATCTACAGCCTCACGCTATTCTGATTCCCTGTCCTTACCTGGGTCGGCTCTGAAACCTTAATCTGTGACTTACCCAATTTTGGCCATATCTTTATCTAACTCCGTCTATTGTTCGTTGTAGTTTCTTTTTGTTTGTTTCTTGTGGTGTTGGGATAGATCTCAGGGCTTTGGACTTGCTAGGTAGGGGCTCTACCCCTGAGCCATGCCCCCAGCCCCCTAATGGTTTCTAATGGTCTTACTTATTGCATCCTAAGACAGCCATTCTTTGAGCTTGCTGATCACCTAAGCAACTGATCCTACCTCTTCATCCTATCCTGTTCCACCAAGCTCCCCCAAACAGCATCTGTTTCTTCCACAACCCTTGTAAACTGACTGTTACCCCCTCTACTCTATGAAGCTCTTTTCTGGAAAGTCACAATGACTGCCTCCGTTTCCACTTCACCTCCTTTCACCTTTGTGAGACTTAACAGGTTAAATACACCAGTTTAAAACCCTCTCCTCTCTAACCTCTCTGCTGCCCAATGCGCCTTCTCTTTTCACTTCTCCAAATAGCTCTTTGCCTTCTCCATCAGCTGGCTAACCTCTTCTTCCCCTTTAAGCTTCTAATCTTGGAGCTCACATTAGCCATGGCCTAGTTTATCTTTTACATATATATCATGTTTATAATATTGATTCATACTACATACCTTGGGACTTTGAACTGGCTATGGTTAGGAGCACCTGTATATGAATCAGACAATAAAGAGAGATAGTGTCTCAGGAACTGCCTAAGTTCTCTTTCTTGGGGCCGTGAGCTGGGCACCTTGACATTAATGAAGTCAGAGAATGCTGGGTTATTTAAGGCAAAGTGACATGGTGAGAGAAAATCCATCTTCCCACAACAAGAAATTCTGCAAATACCATAACTCTATACACTCTTGGATTTATAGCTTTCTAAAGTTCTAAGACATAAAAGGAAGGCATCAATCAAAACCCAGTAGTATTAGGGATGTTTCCTGGTTCCCAGTACTCTTTTCCTATGGCCACTGTTTTGTTCCTCCAGCCCCCTTCACCCTGCCCAAACTGCAGTGTCCCTGAGGTGTCCAGGTACAGCAGTGATGCCTCAGGCAGGGGAGCTGCTCCCCTCCAGCCACAGCAGCCTGGGAAGGCCACCGTCATTGCTGGTGACCCCTGGTCACTTCCTCTGCACCTGGGCCCCTGGGCCCCTGGGTCTTGGCCACTTTGGAGCCCTCTTCTGTGGCCCACCCTGTAGGGAATGTGGGCCTCCCTCTCCCTCTCTCTCCCCTGGCACATGTAGTCTATTTGGTTTGTTCTCCAGTTCCATACAGCCCACAGTTGTATTTATTATAAAGCCAATGTCTTAAAAGACAGGAAATTGTACTAGACACGGACGGGCAAAACGCAGATGCTTCAGAGCAGAGAACATGGAGTCAGTCACCCTGAAGCTCTCTCCCCCACGTTTCACAGGGCCTCTTATTCTGTGCAGGCCTGGCTTGGGTGAATGGAATGGCCTTGAACACCCCTCCCCGCCTTACCAGTAGCTGACACTGCTGAAAAGCACAGTGGCAACGATGCTAAAGGGGAGGATGTGCAACACGTAGGCCAGCAGCATCTGCCACTTCTCATACAGGCCATCCAGACTCTCCTGGTCACTGACGGCTCGCAGCATAGGAACTGACATGGAAGGGAAGCAGGTTCCAGAACAGTTATCACCACACAGCTGGGGGAGGAAGGGCTAGCCCACGCTGAAGGGGATCCCCAGATGCGCAGGCTGTCTACTCATGGGAGGGGGAGACCGCTGTCCCTGGGACGGTAAAGCCTCCCCATCCTGGACATCTACACTCTACCGGAACTGCAATTCGGTTGCAAAAGATACGATTTATTTCCTTCTCCCTTAGTTTGGTGGTGGGGCCGGGGACCATCAATCCCAGAAAAAAGGGCATGAATGAGGAGACACGTTGTCCTCTTTTTGTGCATTATGCTGGTCCCCACTGCAGTCTGCATTTTATAGTGACTCTCAGAGGGACCAGAAAAGCCTGGTAAACACAGGGACACAAAGTTGCCCTTCATGTCCATCTCTAAGACCAACTTTGCAAAAGGCATCACCCTTTCCTCTCATTCCCTGAACACTGTGTTTCATTTCAGGAACTCCTCCAACATCTATTATTTTCCTGAAAAAGTTCTAACATTAGCCATCTGAGTGTGGCTTCTGGATTCCCTCTGAGTTTGAAAATCAGGTGCTGGTTATTCCAAAATAAGCTCTAAAAGAGACTAATGGTAACTGGGCCCCCTCAGGCTGTGGGCGTCCTGAAGGCCAGGAAAGATATTTTGTAAAACTCTCCCCCAACTCTGCCACCAAGGCCTCACAACTGACCTTCAGAGAGATCCTCTTGGTGAGCTAATTCATGGTAAGGTGCTCATAACGCAGTAGTTACCTCTCCTCCATCGAGAGGCTCTGGTGAGGGCCAAGTAGTCATAGAAATACCCATCTATGGTGAATTTTTGCAAGGTGACAGCTAAGGAGGGCACTGTGAGGGAGACAGGAGTGAGCCTCCTGCACACAACACTTACACAGCGTCACAGCGTTGAGCATGCCTGTGAATGGGGTGGCGCCCACCAACTGGTACAGGAGACCCACGCGGTCCTGGACAGCACCCTTTAGCATATCGTTCTGGACCCGCAGGAAGAAGAATAAGAGGAACAAACTCATGATCAGATTCTGAAGGAGACGCATAATCACTGCTTGCTTATTTCTTGAGAAGTTTCTTGTCACTCTCCTGAAATCCAAACGATCCCATTTTAATTCCTTTCCGTTCATTATTAGTGAATGTCTAAAGACCTAAAATGGATCTGGCCTACTTTTCTCAGGCTTTTACCTCAGGAGGACACCCAGTTTACAGAGAGTTCCAGGAAGATCTTTAGTTTTGAAAGGAACCATTGGTAAGTTCTTCAGGAGCTTTGTTCTGTCAATATTTTCCAAAATTCTGTGATAGATTGCTGATTCTTTGTAGGCAGTTTCAAGCATCTGGACTCGCCTGTAGGTTTCTATTTCTCGTTCTTTGCTTTGAGAATCCACCGATGTCAGGTCCACTAGATTTTTCCCCCCAAAAAAATAATCCATGTGTTTTTCAATGCACATATATCCATAATGGAAAATAATATGCTTTATCATTGACTCAGGAATACTAACCATAATACCACATCTCATTAGAATAAAATTTGCTGTAAATGTTCACCTATAAAATCAGAATATTTTAAAGCTATCCAGCAAGGCCATGAGAATCCCACTGGTACTAGCAGAGAATTCAGAAACTCAGCTAATTTTTTCTCTAACAAAGAAGTAGTATATCTATTTGCTTCAAAGAGATCCCTATCTTATTCTGATAAATCATCAATGGTAAAGACTCACAGAAGCTCCTTGACACACAAAATCATCACAACAAAAACAAAACCAAAAACCCTTTAGGGCAGGTGCCATCTGAGCAGAAATATGAGATGAAAATGTTTAAAATTCATGCATGGTGAAGAATATGAAAGAAAAACTTACTATAGAAGTCAAAAGGGTTGGAATGCTCAGGACAAGGGTAACCACAGCCACTGAAGAAATCGAGCATCTCCACTGGGGTGCCACAGAAAACCAACTCTCCGAAGGTCAGGATAGCGATTTTGTCAAAGTACTAATCAGACAACAGACAGTTTTAGAGTGTGGTCAGGTCACTGTGTCCTTATGGGAAATACACTTCCAAGCAGCTGATCAGTCCTTTGATCATCTCAGCCACCCATCAGTATTCTCAGTGGGTGCTGGGTGCATCTCTACACATTCCAGCTGGGTCACCTCTGACAACCATGCTCTCTCCTTCCTGAGTCCCAGCATCCCCTCTGAGGTAGAGAAAAGCTACATGGCCAGCTTTAAATTCCAGCCATTACACGGACAGACTGGGCTGTTCTGTTTGTTGCGTATATGTGATGTATATTTTATAGATTCTCATCTATAAAGATAGCTAACAGAATACTGGGAGGATGAAATGAGCATTCTGTGAAAGAATCTGTATGACTGATTCAATGGAAGAACACAGCCCTTGAAGCCAACTTGAGCATGAACGCCAATTCTGCCTTTGAACTCTATCAGCCTGACTCCGTTTTGAGTCGTTTCTGTGCTTCTCTTTTCTTCTGTCAAGGAGACATACTGATGCCAGCCTCACAGGATTGTCACAGAGCTTATGTGAGCTCGTGCTTCAAAAGTACTTGGAATGTGGTGCTAAAAAGAAACTGGTTTCCACCCTTTCTCTTCACACATCAGGATTGTCGGGTGCACCTTTATTCCTCACCCCCATTCCCTCTAGAGTTGAGCAGAACAAGGGACACACCGCTTACCTCGAAGAATTCAGAGCGAGGTTGGTGGATAGTGAGGATCACGATGCGGCCCCTGTGAGCCAACTCAGTCAGGAGGAAGACGATCTGATTCGCAGTCATGGAGTCCAGGCCTGTGGTCGGCTCATCAAATAACATGATCTCTGCCAGCAAAGAAGAGGCAGACGTCTGAGTCACTGCTCCTCTGGGCTCTGTGCTTTCAAACTCAGTTTTGACTGGTCCTTTATGGAGCTGTTGTACCCCATCCACACAGTACGTGATGAGAAGTAGCTGCATGCAAACTGCTTTCGGCTCAAACCCTGGAGAAAGGATCTGGCCTGGGGGCCCAATCTCCAGCTCTGTGCACACGTAGGGACAGAGAACAACTACATCTGGCCTCCTACTTGGTACTGTGGACTGTTTGGGCTCCATCCAGGGGACACTTATGGGCACTAAGTTGTTCTCAAAAGAGAGAAGATAGGCTTTAAGTGGGGGGGGCTATTTCAAGTCTACAGCACTTTCCAACACTAAAAGTGTATTTGTACACAAAGAAATCTAACCTGTAAAACAAGGTCTGAAGTGGGATAGGTGTTTAGGTTGTTTAGAACCCAAAACTGGATTAACCATAGCTTATTCCCACCCACAAGAAGACCAAGAGCTCTCAAGGACACTTCTCATATCTGCCTTCTGGTCATTAAGCACCACCAGATCGGGCAATCTTAATCTACCACGAAGTAAAGGATCTGGATGCAGTAGCCCCTCTTCCAGGCACATAGAAGGGGTGGGGTTGACAATGACTAAGCCAGACAAGAGAAGAAGGGCACTGGCTACCTAGGCTTGATGACCCCTCCCCATAGCATGTACACTTATCCATGTCAGACTTCAGTTCCTACTCTGATTCCTGTTATCTCATAAACACTTCCAATAGTATCAAAACTAATGAATCTTTCCCTGCAGATACGGTGGTACTGCTACAGTATGAAGAGTGGGTGGGGCAGGCCCTGTGTTCATGGGAAATGCTAATAGAACACTAAAGCACAAATATGATGTTTCTGATACAAGAGATGTTTGGTACAGATGGTCCCTGACTTATTAAGGAGCTGTGTTCAGTAAACTCATGGTAAAGTGAAAATGTTCTATGTTGGAAATGCAGTCAACACACCTAACTTACGGATGATCATAACATAGCAACACAGCACACTGCAGAATGTTGGTTGTTCCCCCTTGCAACCACATGGCCAAGTGGTAGTTGTGACCTGAGGGCACTTTCCAGCATCATAAGAGAATATTATACTACCTGTAATCCTGGCACTCTGGGAGGCTGAGACAGGAGGATCATAAATTTAAGCCTAGCTTGGGCAACTTAGTGACTTAGTAAGACCCTGTCTCAAAATGAAAAATAAAAAGGGTTGGGGATATAGCTCAGTGTGAAAGCCCTGGGGTTCAATGCCCAGTAGCGGAGCTGTGCTTGTGTGTGTGTGTGTGTGTGTGTGGTGGGGGGTAATGGTATTGCATATCACTAGTCCAAGCAAGACACGATCAAACTTCAAAAATCAATGTACAGTTCAGACTGTGTGTATTGCTTTCACGTTAGCTTATAGTTGAAAATTACGTCAGGACCATTGTTAAATTGAGGACTATCTATACTTCGATCATTAAATAGTGTTTGGAAATTAATTACACAGTACTTCCAAAAATCCTGGGAATCCAAGTCAGAAAACTCAGTGCTTTCGGTCCTACATAAACTTTCCACATGTGGACCGGGAAAAAAGGGTCTCGAGTATCTGCGGACACAGCCCAGGCAACGGCTGGTAGCTGCAGGCCTGTGTCACACTTACTGGGGTCCTGCAGGAGCTGGATTGCCATGGAGACCCGGCGCCGCTCGCCACTGGAAATGCCCCCAAAGTTATAGTTGCCAATCACTTGGTCTGCCACATGGCTCAGATGCAGTTCTGCCATGATGGCCTCCACCTGCGGGAGACAAAAGCCCAGGACCGCTGGCCACCTGGTGACAGCTGCTATCTCAGCTCCAGAGCTGGAGAGGGCCGGAAAGAAGAACATCTTAGAATGCTCCACTTCCAGACTCACTGCATCCTGGGGAAATCAGCCTGACAGCGAAATCCAACTTGGCTTAGGTCACAGTATTACATGATTTAAATAAAGAAAAGGTTTTATAT